AAACTATATGCCGGTATATGCCTTTTTGTATACTTATATCTTGTTGTGATGCCGATATTTATATCAGAACAATATAGATAAACAAAAAGTATATTATTTTATATTTGATATTTATTCTTTATATTGCTCTAATACTGATACCTGTTATTCTACCGATATCATACTTTTTAAATTAGCTCGATATTCATATCAGTATAATAATAAGATTATATAAGCATATCCCGATAGTTATACATTCGACCTGTGATATATGAAAATAGTAAGGGTTGCTTTGGTTACAGCTTCTCTGTGTTCACTAAGTGAGGTAATAGTAGGGATTTCATAGGTAGAGGAAAGAAGTTTTTTGCATTCAGAGACAAGGGTAGTGGCAACTTTATATCAGATATGATTATAAATTCTTTTCCTTGTATTTTCAGATTATTGAGAAAACTGTCGGGCATAGATAGGAATAAAAGAAGAGAACCATTCATCAAGGTTATTAGTGAATAGTTTGAGAGATGAAATTTTGAAATCTTTAGTGAATTGCTTTTTGGAAATATTAAGAGCAACATTAATATTAAATTGATCATCATGATAGATTTGAAATAGAGATTTGTTATAAGTATCTTCACTAAATAAATAATGAATTCTAAAGCGAATAGGTTTTATATCAAGATCTTCTATAAATTTTTGCATATAGATTGTTTGGTATTTGTTTTGAAGAAAGAGGTGGATTCAAGCAAGATTAAGAGCAACTTGATTGTGGTTGCGAATAGCATACGGAGAAATAAAACTATAGGAAGTTAGGATTTTTTTGTAGTTAAGTTGAGTGAAGAGTACAGTTGTAAATTGGAGGAGAAGTGATTTGAAAGTATCAAGAATAATGCTAAAAGGAAGAATAGCATCATTGTTTCGTAAGGGGTTTGCCTCTAAAATTAGATTAATAAGGAATTGAGGGTATTTTCCTGCAAGAGAGGCTATTAGGTAGTTAAAGATGTATCTAATTTCTTTGCCTTTCTGTTTGTTATTAGAGAGGATTTTGACAATTTTGCCAGGTGCAAATTCGATAAGATGAGGTTTAACAAAGTTAAAAAGTGTGTTTAAAGAGGTATTATTTTTCATATCTTCGGTAATAGGATAAGTAAAGAACCAGTCAAGGTCATTAGATGTGTCCCATTTAGGATAAGTTGGTTTAGTTTGTTACTCATCAGTAGAATTAAAATCAATAGATTGGTTATTGTTAATAGGAGTATCAGAATCAATTTCTATAAGCAAGATACAGTCCTAGTAGGAGAGAGCTAAGGGCTTTTGGTAGAGATAAGTGGTGTTAATGTTGAAAAAAGAGGATTAACGATAGATTTGGCTTTGCTTAAATAAGTAGGTTGTATAGAGGCTTGAGATTGAGAGAGCAGAATTTGAAATTGAGAAAGTTGGAATGATTTGCTTGTGTTGATGTTGGTGCGTTTAGTAGAAAGTTTTGGAAATGGATCATTAGTAGAAGAGGTAGAAGAAGTAGATACTTGGTTGGAGAAAATATTTTGGATATTTTGAAAAACAGGAGTTAAATTTCTTCTAGATGGGTCAAGTGTGAAAATAGCAGCTGAAATCGTTGGAATAGTAGAAGTGGTTAATGTGGAAGATGCAGTAGGGGCACAATTTATGTGAAAGATCTCTTCGCCTACTGTAGTATGGATTTTATTAGAGTAATGTTTACCACCATAGATACGACAGGTGATATTTTTAGAGCATTTGTGACAGATATGTTGGCAGGCTTCATGTGTAGGAGATGGTAGAATTGTATCAGTAGTTTGAGAGACTTGTTCGATAAAATCTTCTGATTTTTTGTTTTGGTTTTTCCCCATTTTCACATTGGTAAATGAGGATGCAGAAGTTAATAGATAAGTAGCATTGCTTTTAGCAATAAAACGAGTATGGTATTTGTTGCATAGACATACAACAATAGATGTAGTTTCAGGCGTGTGAAAAAAGTATGCAGTTTTGGTAATTTGAGTACAAGTAGTTCTGGTGAGGCATGTTGTAGGTGCTTGGTTGGCTGGAGTAGGTCTAAGCTTTGTATCAGGCGTGTGTTCAAAGAAGGTGATACCAAATTTTTTAGGGAAGTAAGCATGAACATAATCAAGATCGATAGTGTTTGGCTCTTTATGAATTAATTTAGGTATTGTAGATAGTTAAAATAGATTAAACTTTAATAATTTTAGTAAGCTTTGATTGTTAAAAATTTAATTTTTTAGAAAATTTTTCTAAGTTAAAAAGAGAGTATTAAATAAAGTACAGGTTATATTGGAATATGTTTTTCAGGAGTGAGATAAAAAGGGGTCTAGTCTTTAGGTTACACAAAGTCACATGACCTAAAAATAGAATTCCAAAATTTTATATTACACAAAGTCACATGATATCATGTGTTGCACAAGACAAAAAAGGAAATTTTATTGTATGAATAAGAAGTTACTAAAAAGGCAGATATTAAGATTGTACGATATTAGTTAATAATTAAGTAATTTTAGTGTAATTTGACAGATACCAATAGTTTTAAAGATGTGTAAGGCGTGGGTAGCACGATTGGAGCAATGTGGGTTGCACAGAAAATATCTCCAAGTGTTTAGGAAAATTTTCCCAAAGTAAAAGAGAGAAAAAAAGAAGTAAATGAAATAGAAATTGTTTTACTTATAACTTGGTCAATATTGAAGCTACAGAGGTCTATTATATCTTGTTTTGAAGAGGAGAGTGTGTAGAACAAATTTGTTCTAAGTTTGAATAGGGTTTAGAAGCTAGATTTGGCATAAATGGCGAAAGAAGCCTATTTGGCCAAAAAGGCTGTTGCTAAATAGATTTTGGGCCAGTTTAGTTAAAACTTTAACACTATATGTAATTTTATATAGAGAATAACTTTTGTTAGAGCAAGAAAATAGATTATCTTAATAAATTATTGTAAAAATAAATTTTTTAGTTATGCAGGTTTAGGCAAATTTTTGTACGAGTTATGAACAGGAAAGAGTTGGATGATATTATTTTTATCTTTTTCCTGTGCTTTAAAATAATTATTATTAGCTTTAATTTTATTTTTATTTTTTTGCCAGATATTTTTTACATGCCACTGGTATAACAAGATTTTGGCCTCAGAATACACCACATGAATAGCATTTTGTTGTGCATCATTGCAATCAGTTAAGAAAGTATGTGGTTTCTATTCTTCATTTTGACTTTTAATAGCTTTAAGCTAATAAATTAAAGCTTTACCTAATTTTTTTCAGATATTGAATATGCAATAACTACACCATGACCACCTTCACTATTATGCACAAATAAAGTAAAAAGATTTGTTTTATATAATGTTGTTTCATATGTACTATCAATACAGACTGTTTGTACACTATCTAATTTTAATATATTTCTTTGAAATTTAGTTTGAAATTCATATATAAAGCCTAAAGATGGACCCAAATTAAATTATTACACTTATAAAGAACCATCCTCCTCTGACATTTTGATCCACTCATTGACTGATATATTTTCACTATATCTATCTTTTTCATTGCCTAAAAATATTATGACTTTCATTTCTTTACTATAATATTATATACATCAATATAGGAAAGATATACATTTTGTCTTTGTGTTAAAGATAAAGAATTTACATCTTCAGTTTCATTAAGACTATTAATATGATTATGAAATATTGACACAATTTGGGCCGATTTTATTCTATCTTTAGCTCTTGCACAAATCCACTCTTTTGCATGTTGAGAATTTGAAAATGCTGCAAGTTTATATTAGTACCTGGTGTATGACTACTATGTCTTGTGTAATGAATAATATAAACCGCATCACCTTTTTCATTTCTATTTTTTAATACTCTTAAGTATGATTTACAACTGACTTTTTTTGATAGTTTCTGAATAGGACGAGGTTAGCTACAATTTGAAAGAGGTTTAGTAGCTCTTTTTATTGTACTAGCTGTTGATTATGATTGCTCATAACAATAGCATACATATTTTTTATTTAACTTATATTTTAATCTTTTATGATTATTTTTTCGAAAGTAACAGGCCCCTGCAATATCTTGTAAGATATTTTCAATCTAATTCTTATATGTTTCTATATTGAAATATGTATATATTTTTATAAAATCATTTTTATCTATAATATATATTTTATTTTTATCTACTTTTTAAAGTTCAGCATTATCACTTTTATCTGTTTCTTGTAGTTTAGTCTCATCATTTAATAGATATGATATATTAGTTTCTAATGCATTAATTTCTATATTTTTCAACTTAGAACTATTGTTGAAAGAAGATTCAGAGTATAAATACTTATTAGTTAAAGATGATTGATTTTCATATTCATCTTGTAATCTAGATGCCTGTGTCTAATTAGTATGTCCAATAATTTTATCTATTAGAACATTTAATTCTTTAGAAATTGGATTGCTCATATTTTTGTTATAAAAGATTTGAGTAAAGATTATAATTAATATTTTTAGTAATCTTTATCAGACTTTTTTTATCAGGCAAGTATTTAGATATATTTATAAGTTTCAATTTATTATTGTAAGATTTTTTATTTTATAGAATTGCTTTTTTTTTTAATAAAACAAATATAAAATTATATAAATTGCAGCATTCAAGAAACATATCAAACGAATTGTTTGGATTATACTGATAAGTACTTTTACTAAATTAATTTAAATATAGTAGTTCTTTTGCAAATTAAATATAATATATAAATTTATTATTAGATAAAGAGTTCCTTATGAATTTTACAAAGAATAATCAATTGGCTATAGTAAAGAATTTCTCATATATTTTACAATAATAATCAATTAGTATTAATTATACAGTCAAACATTTCTAAATATATTCTAATAACTAAACTTTAATAGTGTATATTTAAAAAGAATAAAAAAAAGAATATTTATATAGGTAAGTGTTCAGTATATATTTTGGCCAAAATTTAATAGCATGTTTAGAAAGGTTTTATTATAATTATAATAAACCAAACTTTAATTTTTTTTATATTATTGAAAAATGATTTAGTTTATTTCATAGACAATTATTTTGCTGACACTTCGTTTCATTAACTTTACCTAAAAATATTTTACTAGCAAGATAATTCTAGTCATTGTCATTAGAATAAGGCTTAGAATTAGAGTTAAAGTTGGTGTATTCATAAAAAGTATATAAGCTGTTGGTAAATTAAGCATGTCAGTAAACTAAAATAATTGGTAAAATAAACTTGTTATTGAAATAAAGAATTAACAAAATAATTATTGGTAAAATGATATGAATTCACATTAATAAATTAAACTATATAATTTGAAAGTTTTTTAACAATTTTCTGTATAAAATATTTAAAATATCAATACGTGATTATTTAATTATTGTAGATTTAACATTATAATAAAAAAATAAATAACTAATAATAGTTATAAATTTTGTTATTAACCATGATTGATTATACATAACTTTGATGTTTTAATAATAATTAAGTATAGCAAAATAATAATTTCAATTAAATGTCTGGATAAAGATATTTTTAGTTAATTTAAATGCTTAGTGATATTATAATAAAACATTTTTTAATAAAAATTACTGTATTAAAATTATATTATACTAATTATTAAATGCTACTGTATAATAAACACAAAATATTTTAAATTTTTAAAAAATTGGATATGTTTAACATACTTATACATAAATATTGATATATATAGCTTTAAACCTTCAGGCAAAGATATTTTTGGTTAACTTAAATACTTAGCAACATTATTGATAAATAAAAATTAAACTATATTTACTTAAAATTAAATTACAACATTTTATTAATTAATCATTCTAATAACTATAATTAATATTTAAATTAAAAAATTTGGATGTAAATATATATAATAGTAGATATAAAAACCAAATACATATTAAATACGTTGATATGTTTCAATTATTAATTTTGTAAAAGTAGATATTTAATATATATAAATATACCAAATTGGGGAGATGATCATCACGAATTTAAATTGGATGAGAAGTACATAGATGCACTTGATATTAATGAAAAGCAATTTAACAAATAACAAAGATTATATATAGAGTCTATATTGGGCTGGCTAAACATGTGAGTTTTAGAGTCAGGTCAGGTTTGGGCCTGGGCTAGTCTAAATTTTAAAGTTTTGTTTGTAAAGCAGGCTGGGTTTGGGTTTATTAAATATTGAACCTAAGTCAGATTTATTAAACAGGCCTGGTATAGCTATACATAGGTGTCTAAATTATTTTTTTAAAAAAACAATTTCAACAAATATTTTGACATTGCTAGTTTTTTTTACATGAATTTTACAAAGTAACTATACTATCTAACATATTTTGACATAAAGAATTCAAATAATTCACTAAAAATTTCGACAACTATGAAATTTAGTTTCGCCATTAAGAAAAATTAATTTCAACAGACTAAATGTCAAAATAATTTTTTATTAAGAGGAGTAATTTAGACACTTATATATAGATACAGCCCAATAGTACTTAACAAAAACTTATAAACAGAAATTCATTTAATTGGCTAATATAAATCAATTGCCAAGATAACTTATTTATACACTTTAAAGTATTTTTTGAGAACATAAAATTATACAAGCAAAAAATTGTCACAAAGTTACTAAAGTAAAAATTAATTTTTTATAATTTCATATTTAGAGAAGTTAGCTTAGACACAACTTTCTGAACTAGATAGAGAAAAAAAAGGCTTTATTTGATTTTAACACACATTAAAAAATAGTTACTAACAAAATAGTTAGTTTTTTTTTTTTTTTTAGAGTGTTATAGAACGAATTAATTATTAGTTTATTATTTTATTATTATTTATTATTTATTAATTATTATCTTAGAATATTATTATTATCTTGTATTATTATTAACATGTCGCTTAGTTGCTTAGTCGCTTAGTCGCTTAACTATATAGTCGCTTAGTCGCTTAGTTGCTTAGTTGCTCAGTCGCTTAGTCGCTTAGCTCACAGATATATAAACCCCACCAAT